CGGATGAATTTAGACCGGGCGAATGAAAATTGGATGAATTTGAACCGGATGAAGTTCATTGGAGGGTGAACGAAGGGGTTCGCAAGAGGGGGTCTGCAATCGGGGTTGATTGCCCATATCTGCCAAATATATCGTTCATGTATGTGATCGGGTATGATGGACATCCAATGTTGGCGGTCATGGGGGGCCAGTCGTTCGTGCCCGCGCGTTGCCCGCGCGGACAAACGCGCCGTCCATCCATTATCGTTCATGCGTGCGGGCGTTCTTGCACATCGCGCGTGGGGTTGCGAAGTGGAGTGCAAGTGTTTCTCGATTGGGCGATTGATGATCGCATGTGTTCCCTAACGATGATTTGTCGACCCCTAAGACAGATTTGAAATGGGCCCCGCGATTCTTCCAACATGTGAATTTACTTTTCTTTTCGCCCCAAGATGTTAATTAACTTCCCCTTTTTTCCGAAATCTGAAGTCGCATTCTGGCCCCTTTCGTAAAGATTCCGATACGAACTTACCGGTTGTGAGTCCACATTTTTCTTTTTTCCAAAAGGTGAAAGTACGTTTTCTTTTTCCCAGTTGAATTCACATATTGGTCGCCTCCACACTGTGACTTCACATTTTGCCGTGGCCCGAAAGATCCCCTATCTTGAGGCGCAGTGTTCTGCATGTCGGATTGGTTGGGCAGATTTTGACACTCACCTCGCCGCTTGCGTTTATTCAGCGTGCGTTGCATTCGCTGCCTTTCCCCAGCTTCCCGTTTTCTAGCTTCGTTTCCTCTCAAGTCTCGCGCATGTGTGCAGGCGGGGACCTTGAATTGGTCCCGCAGCCGAACACAGCAATCGAGGATGCATCGCTCATGCATGGCCCATAGAGACAAAATTTCGGGGACCCTGCGCCCGACCCCCACATTCACTCTCCAATTTGAGCCGGATGAATTTGAACCGTATGATTTCAAACCAGATGAATAACAACAAGCGAATGCAGACCAGATGAATTTGTATTGGGCAAATTGTAGCCGAATGTATCTAGACTGGACGAATTAACATTGAATGAATTATAACGGGGTGAAGTTATAAGCGGGCGAATAGAACCCGATGGATCATCATTGGGCGATTAAAAACCGGATAACATTGCATTGGGCGAATTGTAACCGGATGAATGCAAACCGTGTGAATGAAATCGGATGGTTTTCAATTGGTGTGCGTGACACGTTTTTTGATTAGACTTGTGTTGCCCAATAATTGTTTCCGTTATATTTGGTCGAGTGGTTGTCGCGAGATACAAGGCGTGGCATGTGGGCACCACTAGGGGATCGATCCGATGAAACGAGCTCAACCTGGGATACGGCAGCGCGAATCCCAGAACGAAAGAATGCGACCCACGGAAACCGAACCACGAACCCGGGAACCGCGGGACGCGCCGAACCCAGAAAATACAGATGGCGCGAGGCGTAGAAGGAGAAGGCGAGGAGGTTCATCTCAGACATCCTCGCAATTCGGGGTTCCGAGATGCTGCGCGCGAGGTGGTCCGGCCCGTGTCGCCTGATATATCCTCGGAACTCCGGGCTCTTTGAAGACGTGCGCGAGGTACTCGTTTCGCCAGAAATATCCTCGCAACACGTAGCTCTCAAAAAATGTGCGCGAGGTGGTTGGGCGCGTCTCGCTTGAGACATCCTCGCAACTCTTGGTTCCGAGATGCCGCGCCAGAGGTGGTAGAGAGGGAAACGGAGGGAGGAAGAGGAGGAGGGGAGGGGGTGGAGCGAGGAGTTGTACATTTCATTACAGTGAGGAGGGGGGAGGGGGGAGGAGGGGAGGAGGGAGGGTTGGGGAGTGAGGATGGAGATCGAGGGAGGAGGGAGGAGGAGGGAGGGAGAAGGACGAGGAGGAGGATAGGATAGTAGTTTTGTTCGCCTCCCTGGCCCTCGCCGTCGTCGTCGTGGTATCATGTTTTCGCTCGGCTCCCACGGCGCTGACGCGTTACGTTGTATTGTGTTGCGTTGTATTGCATTGTGTTGGATTGCATCCTGTTGCGTTGCATTGCGTTGCGCTGCGTTGCATGTGCATTGCGCTTGCCATACATTGCATTGCAAGAAATTGCGGGCGAGGGGGAGGACTGGAGGGAGGAGACGGAAGGAAGGTATAGAGAAGGGAAGGAAGGAGGTGTGAGGAGGCCAGGAGGGGGGAGGAGGGGAGGGGGAGGGGGACGAGGGAGGAAGGGGCAGGAAGGAGGGAGGAGAGAGGATGGAGGAGGGAAAATGGAGGGGGAGTAAGAAAGACGAGAAGAATTGGATAGAAGTGTTGTTCGCGTCCCTGGCCCTGTTCATCGTCGTCGTTCTTTTCGTCGTCGTCGTTCTCGTCGTCGTCCGAGTCGTCGTGGTGGCACAAAGGTTTTTTCGGTCCACGCTGCGCTGCCACGTGACGACTATAACTGAATAGTGTTCCTTCGCGCCTCCAATCGTTGCCACGTGGCGAGTGGAATGGCACAGTATTTTTTGTCGGCCCCCGCAACGTTGCCACGTGACGAAAGGAGTGGCGTAGTTGTTTTTCTCCGACCCCCGTGGCGCTACTGCTACGTGACGAGTAGAGTGGATGGAACAATGTTTCCTCGCGCCCCCAGGCGTTGGCATGTGGCGCGTGGAGTGGCTTTGTATTTTTGGTTGGCTCCGCGGCGTTGTCACGAGACGAACCGTGGAATAGTATTTTGTCGGTCCCCGCCCGGCGGTGCCAGGTGGCGAATAGAGTGGAATAGTATTTTTGGTCCGGCCCCAGCGGCGCTGCCACGTGGCAGCCGCCCAATCAACCAGCCAACCATCCTACTTGCCTACCGACCGACCAGCCGCCAGCCAACCAATCGGTCAACCAACGATCTTGTAGCGTTGCATGAATTACATTGCGTTGCATTTGCATTGCATGTGCAGTATATTGCATTGCAGGAAATTGCGTGCGAGAGGGAGGGTAAGAGGGAGGAGAAGGGAGGAAGGTAGAGAAACGAGGATAAAAGAAGGAGGAGTGAGGAGGGAGGAGGGGGGAGGAGGGGATTGGGAGGAAGGAGGATGGGGGAGGAAGGAGGGATGAGGGAGGGTGGAGGAGGGAGGAGGAAAGGGGGAGGGAGAAGGACGAGGAGGAGGATAGGATATAATTGTTATTCGTCTCCCTGGCCCTGGTCATCATCGTCGTCATTATCATCGTCGTCGTGGTCGTTCTCGTCGTCGTCCTCGTCGCCGTCCTCGTGGCATAATGTTTGGTTCGGCTCCCGCGGCGCTGCCACGTGACGACTAGAATGGACTACGACTTCTTCGCGCCTACAGGCATTGCCACATAACGAGTGGAGTGGCATAGTATTCTTTCGGCCCCCGCGGCGTTGCCACGTGACTAAAGGATTAACATAGCCTGTTGTTTTGGCCCCCGCGACGCTGCCACGTGACAAGTAGAGTAAATGGAATACTGTTTATTCGCGCCTCCAGGTTGCCATGTGGAGAGTAGAGTGGGTATTTTTGCTCGGCCCCAAGCGGCATTACCACGTGCCGAATGTTGTGGAATAGTTTGTTTTGCCGCCCCAGGCGGTGCCTCGTGGCGAATTGAGTGGAATCTATTTTTCTCAGCCCCCGCGGCGCTGCGACGTGACGAGTGGAGCGGAATGGTATTTTGTCGCTTGCCAAGGCGTTGCCACGTGGCGAGTGGAGCGGAAAGCATGTTTTTTCGGCCCCGCGGCGCTGCCACGTGACGAGGCACACATTGCGTTTTCCAGCGCATTGCATTGCAGCGTATTGCATTGCATAGCGTTGCATTGCATTGCATTGCGTTGCGTTGCGTTGCATTTGAAATGCATTATATTTCGGTAAATTGCGGGCAAGGGGGAGGAGGAGGAGGAGGAGGAGGAGGAGGAGGAGGAGGAGGAGGAGGAGGAGGAGGAGGAGGACAGGGAGGGAGCAGAACGTGGAAATGTACAAGATGAATTTAAACCAGGCACCTTGAAACCCGATGAAGTCCAACCGGACGAAGTTTAACCATACGAATTTAAACGGGGCACATTAAAGGTGGATGAATTTCAACCGGATGATTTCATACACCGGAGGAATTGAAACCAGACGAATGAACACCGGACTAATTTTAACATGGCGAATTTCCAACCAGGTGGATTAAAGCCAGGCGAACGAATTGAAACCGGGCGAATTTAAACCAGACGAGTTTCAGTTGGGCGAGTTTTGAGTTGATTAAATAAACAGGGCGAGCGAAACAAAGGCACATCCAAATTGAATGAATTTACACGGGACGAATTCACACCGAGCGAATTTTCACCAATAAAACCGAATGAAATAAAACCCGGGCGAATTCAAACCGGATGCTATTCAACCAGATGAAACAAAACGGGTGAAGTTCGACGGATGCAATTAAACGGATGATGCAAAACGGATGATATTAAATTCAGATGGAGCGTTGCCCTTCTTGAGGCCCTCATGGGCCGTCTTAGAGCCATCTTGAGGCCTCGAATGGACATCGGAAGCGAAGACACGAGAAAGCAACCAACGTTGACCTTCCTCAGGTTTTGGAAGTCGGGCATCTTGGCGGTCTCCAGGGGGGGCTCTCGGGCCACCTGGACACGTCTTGGAACGGTCTTGATACTTCTTGGAGCATAGTGGGGGCCATCTTGAGGCATCTTGATCAGCCACGCGCAGAAGGGGGGTGGGGGGGGGGGGGGGGCTTCTTAAAAGCACCCCTGCTTTTTAAAAGGCGCGGGCCTTATCTATAGATGTCAGGCCAGCGCCTTCTAAGGAGCAGCTTCCTTCTAAGAAGCCCTCCCCCCTCCCCCCTCCCCCCACCCCCTGGTGCGCGCCGCCAACTTGAGCCATCTAGGAGGCCATCCATCAAGGGCGCTCTGGCAGCCGTCTTGGGCTATCTTGGACGCTCCAACGCGTCGCGGGGCGCCTTGGGCAGGTCCAGGGCAGGGGGTGGAGGGGAGGGGGTCCTCCTCCTCCTCCTCCTCCTCCACCTCCTCCTCCTCCTCAGCCATTTCGCGCCCGAGCGGCCCCCCCTGCACGGGGCGCGCAAGGGTGTTTCGCGGGCCAACTTCGAAATGGCACTGCTCGCGAGAGCCGACATCGAGAGGCATGGCGCCCCACGTCATCAGCCACAATGCTGAGATCAGGCGCGTGCGCACCCGCCAGGAGACTGGGCTCCCTCCGCCCTCCCTTCCTTTCCCTCGTCGTCCTCTTGCTCCTCCTTCCCCTTCCCCTCGTCAGTCTGGCGAGCTGCAGCGCCGGCAATCCGAGCGCCGCGGCGGAAGTGCAGGCAAAGCATGGGCTTGATCAGCTACAGTGTAGGGATCAGGCCGTGCGAGAAGGCAAGCAGTGGCAGTTGGCGCTGGCGCTGCGAAGAAACTGCGGGTGGGCCACGATCAGCAGGACCGCTGGGAGCAGCCCGTGGGAGAAAGGGGGCAAGCAGTGGCAGCCGACGCTGGCGCTGCGAGAAAAGTGCGGGTGGGCCACGATCAGCAACAACGCTGGGAGCAGCCCGTGCGAGCAAGAAGGCAGGCAGTGGCAGCAGGCGCTGGCACTGTGTCCAGGTGAAGGACGAGCCCGATGCCGTCAGCTACATCCGACGCGACGTTGGAAGCCGGCGGTGAGGAGGGAGGCCGTTCAAGGACGAGCCCGATGCCATCAGCCACAGCGTTGGGATCAGGGCAAGGTGAAGACATGTAAGGAAGGCGAGCAGTGCACTAGTAACGTCATCAGCTACCAAGCTGGGATCAGCTCGGGTGCGAAGGCAAGCAGTGGCAGCAGGAGCTGGCAATGCGAGAAGGGCATGCAGTGGCAGCAGGATCTGGCATTGCGAGAAAATGTCAAGTGCAGGAGCGGACATCTTCAGTTACAGCGCTGGGATCAGCTCGTGTGCGGAAGGGCTGGGAGTCAGTGGAAGCACCTTGCGAGAAGCGGGGGGCGAAGCTGGAGCCCAATATTGTCGGGCACTCTGTGGCAAACCTCTTGCGAGAAGCGGGGGGCGAAGCTGGAGCCCACTAGTGTCGAGAGCTCAGGGCCAACCTCTTGCGAGAAGTGGGGGGCGAAGTTAGAGCCCAGTATCGGTGGGAGCTCTGTGAGAAGCCTCTTGCGGGAAGCGGGGGGTGAAGCTGGGGCCAAATTTAGTCGAGAGCTCTGGGCAAGTTTCGTGCGAGAAGTGGGGGGCGCAGCTGGAGCCCAATATCTTAGCTACAACGCTGGCATCAACTCGTGCGAGAAGGGGAAGACAGGCAGCGGCAGCAAGGACTGTCAGGCGTGTCAGCCGCGTTCTAGGCCAAGCTTTTCTGGCGGTCAGTGTAAGTGGACGGTATTGTGAAGGAGGTATCCACCATCCCGAACGAGAACGGCCAAGGGTAGACTGATTCGTTATGGGAGTGCGGCAATTCACCAGGAACGCCTATGTAAGTACGGCCTGCAAGGCGTGAGGCGGCTTGCGTGGTGCTCTCCATCTGCGTAAGTCCTAAGTAGCACAATCCTAGCACAATCCTCCTCCTCCTCCTCCTCTTCCTCCTCCCCCTCCTCCTCCTCCTCCTCCTCCTCCTCCTCCTCCTCCTCCTCCTCCTCCTCTCCCTCCTCCTCCTCTCCCTCCTCCCCCCTCCTTCTCCTCCTCCTCGTCCCCCGGGGGTTGGAAGAGGAGCCTGTCTAGATCACCTACGCCCAGGGGGCTGGTGGGATTCTTCAGGCCCGCAACCGGGCCAACTGGCGGCGCCATGCTTCTCACGGCCCTGCGACGGCAGGCACGCACCACGACCTCCCAGCACGTCCCCTCCGCAGTCCCTCTCGGCCCTCCTTGGACCTCACTGACTCACTGGCCGTCACCGATGTTCCCGGGACGTCTTCGGGACCACACGATGCCCCCTCCATCCACGAGGCCCTGACCAGCCCCGTGGACATCTTGAAGCAGCCCCGACGATCCTTTCGAATACTTCTGGGAGCGCTCTCCCTCGAAGCGCGCAACGGAGTGATGCGACGATGACGAGGCCCCAGGGGGCCTTCCATAGAACTTTCCGACACACCACGCGTTCCATTCGAACCTCCGCAGCCTGCCTTCAATGATGTTCCTGGGAAGGCTCCGTAGCCATTTTGGCTCAAGCCACGGTGGCTCAGGCGATTTGTCTAGCAAGTTGCATGTCGCACCGTATGCATTCTTGCTGCGCTAATACAGGTGCACTGCGCTAATAATATTGAAACCAATGCGATCACAAATCCTCAATGCAGAATGCACTCCTTCATACATGCTCAGCATTCTATGTTTGAAGATTTATTCCCCCCTTGTTTTTGTTGTTGTCTTGCATCATGGCGCGTGCAAGCTCGTCAGTTCATGGCGGTTCGGGCTTGTTCGTCAGAGCAATGTGGTTGGTCAGAGCAACGTGAATGCTCAGAGGATTGTATTTGGTCAGGACATGGAACGTGTTCGTAATGTGACTGGTCAGAGCAATGCGACTAGTCAGAGCACTGTGACTGCTCAGAAGATTGTAACTGGTCAGGGCATGGAACGTGTTCGTAATGTGACTGGTCAGGGCATTCGGGCATGGCCACGACCGCTCACAGTGTTCTACCATGTGTTTGAAAACAGCATCAAAAAAGGAGCCGAAGCTTTGACAACTTCAATTGTCAACGAGCAGTTGTCCAAGATGCGGGCCTCTGGCGCTTTCGACCAAAGCGTGAAATTGAAGTGGACGTTCATAGGCCCGAGGGACAGCGGCGTGCCAGCACTGCTCCAATGCCCCACGTGCCAGTTGGTCGAGTCGTCTGAGACTGGGAACGAGATTGTTACATTGCAGCACCTCTACGATTATTGTTCAAAACACCATTCCGATCTTGTGGTGTACATGCATACCAAAGGGGCTTACCATGCAGGTATGTTTAACGACAATTTAAGGCGAGTCCTCATGAAGGGAATATGGTCCGATGCGTGCCATTCTCAGGACATGTTCCAAATTTGCACCGCGTGTGGCAGCCGCTTCAGCCCTATGCCGCACCAGCACTATCCAGTGAATATGTGGTTGGCCAGATGCGATTGCATCTCCCGCCTGACTCCGCCCTTGAAACTTGAGTCGACCATGTTGTCGGCGGTACGGGCGGCCATGGACAAAGGCGTGCTGCCTAAAGGAACGGACCATGGAGATCCAGCACTTTTTGGGTTGGGTCGGTTCTCTGCGGAGCATTGGTTGGGCTCGCATCCGAGCCACGCTCCTTGCGACGTGTGCGACAATCCCAGGTTCACTTGGAATCTCAGGTCTCTTCCTGCATTTTCACGTGGACGCTCTTCAGTGGACTGGGCCCCCAAGCTGCGCCCCCATCCGAGGCCAGACATGCCGCTCGCCGCCTTTTGTAAATCTTGCAGAAACGGCGCCATCTGCAACTTGTCGAACTTGAGGTCGTGGCGCCCTTTCGAGTGGAAGTTTTTGCATCCCGAGTCTGAGCCACAGAAGGGTGCCTTGTGGGAGTACTACAGCGCAGGTGAGGGTAGCTGCATGAACGCTGGGTAGCATACATCCCGTAGTAGCCGATCCCCGCCGTAGTTGTTTGTCGCCTGGATGTGGAGTAAAGAATCTTGAGCAACAAAAATGATGTTCCTGGGAAGGCTTCGGGGAGCACGCGGCCCCCCTCAACCCAAGAGGCTCTGACCAGTCCCCGTGACGCCCTAAAGCAGTCCAGACGATCCCCTCGAATGCTTCTGATAGCGCTTTCCCCTGCAGTATCCAGCGAAGTGGGGCGACACTGATGAGGCAGGAAGAGGAAGAGCGGAGCAAGGATTACGGGAAGGAGTGCAGCGGAAACGGAGGGGGGAGGGAGGCCGCGGTGGTGAACGAGGGGGAGCAGAGGAGAAATTGGAGGAGAAGCCGGGGGAAGAGTAGAGGCGAGGATGGTATCGGATCGGAGGTCCGCGAAAGGGCTCCCCCAGGGAGCCACTGCGGGGGGCGTGCAGCCATTCGGTGGGGGCTGCAGGCGAAAGACGCGCCACAGGCGAGACAGAGGTCCGCACAAGAGCACCAGCGTTGCCCCTACTCATTCCAGCCTGCCGCACCCCATGAAACTGCGGCCCGAGTGGCCTTAGCACAGAGGTACGCCCGTCTTATGGTAAGGCGCTCTCGTCCAAGCGTTGGCGGCTTTTCTGCACGTGCTGCGGCTTGTAGGCGACCACTCAGCGAGCGCGTTCCACTAGTTGCAAAGTGCCTACTGGCAAACGTCCGAAGGCAGATGTCTGCTTCGACGCAATGGGTCGTAGATTCCGCCCAGCGGATATAGGCCTCCCTGCGAGTAGCTATTTTGCGAGCAGTGTGGCGCGCTTGTCGGACCGCGGACTTCTGCCGCCTGCGTGAGCGATGTCTGGGTCCCAACCGCACTTGGGCGGGGGGAGACATCAGCCGGGGATATGCCCATGACGAGGAGGAGGAGGAGGAGGAGGAGGAGGAGGAGGAGGAGGAGGAGGAGGAGGAGGGGGGAGGAGGAGGAGGAGGAGGAGGAGGAGGAGGAGGAGGAGGAGGAGGAGGAGGAGGAGGAGGAGGAGGAGGAGGAGGAGGAGGAGGAGGAGGAGGAGGAGGAGGAGGAGGAGGAGGAGGAGGAGGAGGAGGAGGAGGAGGAGGAGGAGGAGGAGGAGGAGGAGGAGGAGGAGGAGGAGGAGGAGGAGGGGAGGGGTGTCCCAACTCGCCTCCGCAGGGCATGTCTTGTCCGCGGCGGGCAGAGCCGCCCCGGGCGGGCTGCGAGGCCCCCTGCACCCCGGTGGGGTGCCCGAGGCCGCGCTCTGGCACGCGCAGCGACGAGCTGAGGCGTGGACTCGAGCGGCCTCGGACCGGGCTCTGGAGCCGGAGGGCCCCTCCTCGGGCCCTGGAAGCTGCAGGGCCAGTTTTTCCCACCGCGTCCGAGAGAGTGAAAATGGAACAGGTGGAAAGGGTGGCAACAACGGCAGCCAGGAATGGCAAAGAAGGGGGCTCCAGAATTGGAAAGCGGAGCGGGGAAAAAACACGGCGACGGAACTGGGCAAAGAAACGCTGTCGCACGTAACCGGCAACAGAAAGGACAGCATGGAACCGCTTAAAACACGGACTTGTCGTTTCCAGGGCCGTTCAGGCCCTTCCCATCAGCCGAGGCGTCGCCGAGGGAGTCTGGTGTGCGGGGGCTCTGCAGCTCAGGCGGAGGTAGACTGAGGGAGAGGGGAGGCATGTGGTCATGATCTCTTGGGATGGCGTGTCGCTCCGCCAGTTCTGGCCCACCACTCCTCGGCGCGAACCTCTACGCACGTCGCGGTCCAGCTTTTCGCAGCCTCCCGCCCCGCGGAGCGGAGCGACACGCTATCCGCTTGCAGGGCATGGCGTGTCGCTGGGGCCGCCGCGGCGACACGCTAAGCAAAAGTTCCCGACCGCAGTGCTAGATTGGAGGAGGAGGAGGAGGCCTGGAGTACCCGTGGCTACCCGAAACCACCTGTGAAGATCCGACTGGATACGTTCAGGCTCCCGTCTCGGAGTTTCGTCTGAGGGTCCAACTACATGTATATTACGAATGGGCACACGGCGAGCCTGCATCCAGCCCTCGTCTCAAGGCGCCAGCTCGATTGGCCACAAGGCGAGCCACGACGTCGGGGGAACGATGATGATGATGATGATGATGATGATGATGACGATGATGATGATGATGATGAGGATGAGGAGGAGGAGGAGGAGGAGGAGGAGGAGGAGGAGGAGGAGGAGGAGGAGGTGGAGGAGGAGGAGGAGGAGGACAAGGTCCGCGAGGGTCCCTAGGTTCCCCAAGAGCGTGCCAATGCATTCCTCGACGCCTCCAAGACGGCCTAGCAAGCCCCCGTGTCGACCGGAGAGGCTCCAAGACACGAGACCCGCGCTAAGCTTCAAATGAAGCCCGCGGGAGACCGTCCAAAAGGTCTGGCCGGCCGACAACCCAGGCATGATGGCGGAGAACCTAGCAGCCAGTACAGGCCCACACCATCGAAGCCCCACATGGCCCCGAGGATTGCAGTGTCCTCGCTGCACCACGCTGCCGACGCTGCGAGACGGACCCAGAGTCCCTCTACACTCCTACAGCCACGAAGCTACACTCGTCCAGCGCACGCTAGACCCACGTCCGAGCAGCTCCCCCCAAGAGACGCCAGTAGAGTCCTTCCCCTTGTTGGCTCTCTGCCCCACTCCTCCCTCCTCCCTCTTCCTTCTCGGCTCCACCTCTGGCCGAGCCCCGGCAACGGCCAGCGCCCGAGATCCAGGGGCCTGGCGACGCCGAAGGTGGCGGCAGCGACGACGGCAGCGAGGACAGAACAGCGAAGGGAAGAGGATGGTGAGGAGGAGGAGGAGGAGGAGGAGGAGGAGGAAGCTGCCCGCCGTCGTTCTCGTGATCGACGTCGTCGTAGTTCTTCGCCCCGTTCCCTCTTGTCCTCGTCGTTGCGGTCGACGCTGTCGTCTGTGCCTTCGTCGGCGCCCTCGATGGGACGCCAGCCCAGGAGTGGCGCAAGACTGTTCAAGAAGAGCCCCAGACACCCAACGACAGACCCAGGTCCTGGAGACGGCGCAAGAGGGCCTGCGATGGATCAAGAAGACCCCAAGAGAGCTTCAGGATTGGTACAAGAGACCCCCAAGACGGCCCTGGTCCAAGACGATCCAGGAAGGCTCCGCGATGGCTCGACCGACGCCCACGACTGCCCTACGACGTTGGTCCTTTCCGAAGACACCCAAGCTGAGCCGCCGGCAAAAACACAGTAAATCCAAAGAAGCCGTAGTAAGATGCCAAGAGCCCCCACGATGCACCAAAGAGGACGTCATTTGTGACAAAACTGCCGCACAGGCTGTCATGATAGCCCTCCCGGTCGTCATGTATCCTCCCTTCCCTCCATCGCTCCTACCAATCGCCTCCGCCTCCTCCACAATTACTCAATATGAATACTACTCTCCCTCTTCCCCTGATGGCGTGCTGGGAGTAGCCGACCCCCCCCCGCGTCCTGCTTGTTTACACAGGATTCCCGGGAGTTGGGTTTTCGCCTGCATGTTTTTTTCAAAATGCTGCTCTCGTTGAGGCGCCGGCCTCATTTTCGGGCCCCGCTCGTTCCGAACCGTGCTCCCGCTGCAGCGCTGGCCTCATTTCCGTGCTTCCGCTCGTTCCGAATCGTGCTTCCGCTGCAGCGCTGGCCTCATTTCCGCGCTTCCGCCCGTTTCGACTCGTGCTCCCGCTGCAGCGCTGGCGTCATTTCCCGTGCCATGCCACAGCACACGCGCACACACGCACACACACACACACCACCACCACCACCACCACCACCACCACCACCACCACCATCACCATCACCATCACCATCACCATCACCATCACCATCACCACCACCACCACCACCACCACAACCACCACCACCACCACCACCACCACCACAACCACGCACACACGCACGCACGCACGCACGCACGCACGCGCACCACCACCCACTACGCACGTGCGCGCGGTTCCACAGGTCCGCTATGATACGCGTCCGCGGATATAGAAAATCAGCGCCATGAGAAGGGATGGGAGGGAGGGGTAGGACGTCAGATATGACGCGAGCGCATCTAGCTTGTCCTACCCCTTCCTCCTCCTCCTCCTCCTCCTCCTCCTCCTCCTCCTCCCCCTCCTCATCCTCATCCTCATCCTCATCCTCATCCTCCTCATCCTCCTCTTCCTCCTCCTCGTCATCATCATCATCACCACCATCACCATCTTCATCATTATCATCATCACCACCATCATCATCAGCATCAGCATCAGCATCATAACCAGCATCAGCATCATCACCATCACCATCAGCATCAGCAGAAGCACCAGCATCAGCATCATAATCCTCATCCTCATCCTCATCCTGATTATTATCTCGATCACCATCATCATCATCATCAGCATCATCATCCTCATCCTCATCCTCATCATCGTCACCATCCTCATCCTCACCCTCACCCACATCCTCATCCTCATCCTCATCCTCATCACCATCATCAGCTTCATCATCATCATCATCACCATCACCATCACCATCACCATCTCGATAAGATTCACCATCATCATCACCACCACCATCATCATTTCCATCATCATTACCACTATTGTCCTATCCACCATCATCATCATCATCACCATAATCGTCACCATCATCAGCATAATCGTCAGCATCATCATCAGCATAATCATCACCTCCATCATCTCCACCACCGCCATCATACGAGTCTCCAACCTCTCTCTCCTCCCATCTCCTCCCCCCCCTCAGCCCTGTCTGCCCCACCCCCCTTTCCGTTCCGCGCCGGCGCGCCCCCAGGAGCAGCGCGCGGGGCGTGCCTGGTGTAGGCGCCTCGCCCCGCCGCGACGGCCACGGCCACGGCGCGGCGCCGGACAGGCGCGTCGCCGTCCACGCGCTGCCACTTCGGCGTCCTGCGCGGCCGCCTCGTCGTCCTCCTCGTCGTCGACCTCCTGTAGCAGCGTTGTGAAACAGAGCCCGCGGAGTGTCACAGAGCGTGCAATGCTAATAGTTCCCGCCTGGCCGTACTCACCTCGGCTCAAGCGGTTTTTCTCGGGGCGGCGAATGGGAGATTTCGGCTGGGCCACCTTCTCCAAAGCCTCCACCTTCGAGGCCGCCAGCAGCGGACTTCAGATCTCTCCTTGTGCCCTGGCGCTGTCGACCAGCGCCAACGCCTGCCTCTCCGAGACAGGCGTCTGGGGGGCGCCGGTGCCGCTGGGCGCGGCGGCCGTCGCCGGGGGCCTGGGCATCCTGCTCGGCGTCCTCGCGGTGCTGCTGGTGCAGGCGACCATCTGCACGTGCCTGGTGTCGGTGCGGATCTGCCTGTGGGGCTCTTGGAAGGCCACGCCGGCGCCTCCGCGAGTCGAGCGGCCGGAGCAGCTGGCGCCCGTCGTGGACGCGCCCGTGAAGGTGCAGCTAGCGCCCGTTGCGGCCGCTCCCGTTCAGCATGCCGGCCAAGTCGCTGGTGCGCCGGGCGCTCAACCTGAAGGCAGGGGACGTGGTGTTCCTCGACTACGGGGAGGCAGGGGAACCGTGGCATGAGAGGCTGATCCTCGCTTCTTTGGGCGGGGCGAGGTATCTGGCGCTGACCCCCGACGAGGACATGTACGAGGAGGCGATCGACACGCGCAGCGTGGCTGACTTCCGGCAGGCGGGCCCGCGGGGCGGCTTGCCGGCCGGCCTTGGGGCAGCGAAGGGCCAGCCGGTCTACCGCTTCACGGAGCGGCCGCGCGGCGCTGCGCTGCAATCGTGGATCGACGCGGCGGAGGATCAGGCCGTGGAGCTGCGCGCGGCGCTGGGGCTCGCCGAGGAGCCTGAGCCTCCGCCCTTGGCTGACGGGGGCGCTCCCTCGGGGGCGGGCGCCGCGGGCTCCGGCGCGACTGGCGAGCGGGGCGACTGGGTCTGCGTGGTCCCCGAGGGCGACGTCAGGCGGGGCGCGGTGTACTCGCTCCCGGACTCGCTCGACACGCCGTCGGAGAGCTTCATGGCGTTCGGGCAACACGGGCTCTACGACTTGGGCCGTCGCGGCAAGTCGGCGGTCCTGGTCAGGCTGGCGCCGGGCGAGACCGCGGACGAGGCCATGCGGGCCTTCGTGGCGACCGCGGCGCCGGAGGCTGTCGGGGGGACGCCCACGCCGCCACCCGCCGAGGACGCCCGCACGCTGGCGATCAAGCGGGACGCGGCCGGCCGCCGCTTCCGGGACCTGAAGAGTGTGGCGGACTCATCGGAGCGGTGCGAGTTCGAGGACTGGGCGCTGTCTGGGCCCCGGACTGCCTTGTACGTGGTGAAGGAGATTGCCAAGCAAAGCGGTGGCCCGGTCCAGCGCCACACCACTTGGAAGCACGAGAACAAGCTCAACGATGACGAGCATAGCGTGGTGGCCCACGAAATGCTGTCGGAGATTTTGGAGCTGGCTTGCACCTACGACCAGGTCGACGTGGCCAACCTGGCGAGCATGGAGGCGCTCGCGAGGCACCTGCAGTTCCTGGAGCACAAGGTCAAGAAGAAGAAGGAGACGACCAAGGATTTCGATTCCCAGGACTACTACCTGGGCCGCACCAGGAGGACGGGCGGGGCCATCATCAGCCCGGAGCTGCTGAAGTGGGTCGCGGAGTCCGCGGCCCAGGATTCGGCCATCTTGAAGGAGGAGCGCAAGGCTGCGGAGGAGCGTGCCCTGGCGCGCGCTCCTCCAAAGAAGTCATGATGGGCTTCGAGGCTGGGAGTTGGCCGTACCCAGCCGGTGCCAACAGGCCGCTGGAGCGCATGGTGCCGAGGGATCTGCTGCCCTTGCCCTTGGCGCCCGCGCCGCCGGCTCGGGGCGCGCGGTCGTTGCCGCGCCGCTCCGCCCAGAGGATCGGCCGCAGGTCTGCTGTGGGCCGCCGCGTGAATGACTGCGTCGCCGCCCTGAACAACCCGCACGGGGACGGCGACTTTTGCTCGAAGGCCCGTCCTTCGGAGGCACAATTTTCTGCTGTGGACATGCTCTGGCAGGCCGTGTCGGACGACAAGCCGCCGGACGACGCCCCCAGCCCCGAGGCAGCCCTCGTGGAGTTGCTCGGCACGGGTAGTCTGGGCTATGGCCCCGACGGCCCCACTGTGGTTGCGCCGTATGATCGCGGCCTGGTTTCGTGGCCTGAGTCGGCGGGCTGCGTCAGCTTGCTGGAGGTGCTGCCGGAGCCAGACCGCCAGGAGGTGATCGACGGTAAGAATTCGATGATGCTTCGCGCTGAAGAGGTTCGCCCGGGCGCCACCAAGGTGTACTGGGATAAGACCTTGCAATCCGACACGGACGAGTACCAGCGGTTCGTGCAGGACCTGCTGGACCGCGGCATGGTGGAGCTGCGGACTCGTCGCGATTTTGAAGTGGGAGTCTTCTTCGTGAAGAAGAAGTCGGGCCGCCTGAGGCTCATCGTGGGCGCTCGGGCTGTCAACCAGGCGCTGATGCGGCCGCCGACGATCCACATGGCGTCCACCGTGGCGCTAGTGAACATGGAGGTCGAGGACGGCGCCCAGCTGGAGTTCTCGATCCAGGACATCGCGGACTGCTTCTACCAGTTCCGCGTGCCGGACTACATGGTGCCGTGGTTCGGCATGCGCCCGCTCAGGGCTAGGCAGCTGGGCGTGAAGGTGGTCGACGGCCTCGCGGTCTCAGAGGGGGCGTGGGTCTACCCATGCCTGCGGGTGCTGCCCATGGGCTTCGCGTGGGCCATGCGCTGGACGCAGCAGGCGCACCGCGAGCTGCTGCGGCGAGGAGGCCTCGGTGGCATCGAGAGCGAGCTGGTGGACAGGCAGATCGCTCCGAGCGTGGACTCGCCTCAGGTGCCGAGGGTCGTCTACGTGGACAATGAGATCTTCGTCTCGTCGCGACCGGGCGCCACCCGGGGTGCGAGGAGGCAGGCGGCCAAGGTGATGGCCGAGGCCGGGCTGCCGCTGCACGAGGTCGAGGAGAGCAAGACGGTCGTGGAGGCGCTGGGCCTGGAGCTGGATGGCATCAAGCTGCGGGCCCGGCTGGCGCGGGCCAAGCGCTGGAGGCTCGGGCCGGGCACCCAGGCGCTCCTGCGGCGCCGGCGCGTGGCGGGCCGGGAGATCGAGCAGATGATCGGCCACTTCACGCATGCCATGTTGCTGAATCGCCCCGCTTTGTGCGTCTTCCGCTCGGCCTACGACTTTGCCCGGAAGCACTACAGGGCGCCCGTGCCGCTCTGGCCCTCGGTGCGGCAGGAGCTGGCCAACGCGCTGCACCTCATGCCGCTGCTGGCCGTCCAGTTCGATCTGCCGTGGTCCGGGCGCGTCACCTGCTCCGATGCCACGCTGCGCGGCTATGCGGTGCAGGAGGCCGACATGGAGCCGTCGGCCGTGCGGGAGGTCGGTCGCTGGAGTGAGCGCTGGCGCTTCCGCATCCAGTCAGCCTTGCGCCCGCGCGAGGCAGCTCTGCTCGAGCGCTCGGGTGAGAGTCAACACGAGCGACCTCCACCTCCTCCTCCGCCGGGGCTCCCAGGTGCCGACCCCATGGGCCCCCAAGGTTTACATCGTGTACACCCAGCTCTGCCTCTACGGGTTCCTGAAGGCCTCAGTGGTGCCCCTCGTCGTCAAGCGCTTCGGGATCTACCTCTGGCTGGGGCTCCTGGGGCCGCTGGGGCCGCTGCTGAGGGCTGCTGGGGCGAGGAGTCAGGCTATCCTGCAGGTTTCTTAGGAGACCTCATCGGCGGGGACGTGGACATCAGCATCAATCGGGAGTTCCCAGAGATCCCCAAGGGGTTCATCAGCGAGGGCTCGTGGAGGACCATCCAGGCAAGAAGATATCATAGGAGAGAGGCCATCCATCTTAAGGAGCTCAGGGCCGTGCTGTCCGGGTGGAGGCGTAAGTGTCGTCAAGCTAGATACCATCGTCATCGCCATTTGTTTCTGTGCGACAACATGGGTATGGTCCTGAGCCTCGAGAATGGCCGAGCGGTGTCACCTCCGGTGCTGGTTCTGCTCAGAAAGTGGGCCGCCTTGTCGCTGGCCTCCTTCTTTCGTACCAGCGTGCGCTGGGTGGCCAGCGAGCTCAACCCAGCTGATGAGCCTAGCCGATGGTTCGACTCGCCTGCTGAGAAGGCGGCTGCTGCTGCGCTGGACGCCTGGCGACGCCGGCCCGCTGGAGAGGCCGCCGAGGCCTGCTCGAGCGCTTCCCGAGAGGGATGGTGCGCGCGGGCCTGGCAGCCCCCCGCGCGAGAGGGTGCTGCGGAGGAGCGGCGCCTTGCCAGAGAGCCACGGGCTCCCGCCCCGCCGTCTGCCTGCCCCAGCCCCTGTGGTCAGAGCGGCAGCGGGCCCGGCATCCTCGACCGAGCGGCGGCTGCTTTCATCGACGAGGTCTCGCCGATCCCGTGCGCCCCGCCGCGACCGCCCTCCCCCACCGGCGTTCGCGCGAGCGATCGAGGCGGCGAGGGCGCGGTCGGTCGGGACTGGTGGGCTCACGACGCTGGAGCAGGAGAGCATCACCCAGAAGACGAGGCAGGACTACGAGAGGAGGCTGGAGCGGTTCGACGTCTTCTGCAAGACCCACGGGCTCACCACGGCGAGCGACGTCGAGCTGGAGGAGGCCGTGGTGGAGTACATGGAGCTGCAGTTCAGCCGGGGAGAGCCGTCGAACAGCGGGGCCAAGCTGCTGGCCGCGATAGGGCATCGCGACCCAAGGCTGCACCACGCGGGCAGGCTGCTGAAGCTGCCCCGCGTGGCGAGGGCGCTGCAGGGCTGGCGGAGGCTGGTGCCGCCGCTGACGCGGGCGCCGGCGCCTTGGGCGGCGGTGGCGGCCATCGCGGTGGCCCTGATCTACCTCGGCCAGCGGCGCGCGGCCCTCGGCGTGGTGCTCGCGGCGGACGCCTACCTGCGCCCAGGGGAGCTGCTGACCCTCCGGGCGGACCACGTGGTGCCGGCGCAGCCGCATGCCGGGGGCGACTACCGCTTCGCGTCCCTGGTGTTGAGGCCCGAGGAGGAGCTGCAGTAAACCAAGACCAGGGGCTTCAACGACTCGATCCTGCTCGACAGCCCCGCAAGGTCTTTTGTCGGGCCCCTGCTGGAGCAGATCGCATCCCAGTCGCAGCCGATGGAGCTCCTCTTTCCGTGGTCGGGCGCGGCCTTCAATGCCATGTTCAAGGAGGCAGCCGCTCTCGTCGGGCTCGAGAGCTGGGAGTTGACGCCGCACATCCTTCGCCACTCCGGGCCGTCCCACGATTGGCTCACCAAGGCAATGAGCCTGGAGGCCATCAAGCGCCGGGGCCGCTGGGCGTCCGACCTCAGCGTCAGGCGCTACGAGAAGGGCTCCAGGGTGATGCGCCGCCTGGCCTCGCTCGACCGCGGCCGGCAGCTGCTGCTGGCCGAGGCCGACCGGCTGCTCGAGGGCGCCCTGAAGGACGGGCGCATCGGCGGCTTCGCGCGGCTGCTCCGAGACGTAGGCCTCGTGTGACTTCGTCTGAGCCTGGTGCACGTGCCAGGCCGCTAGTTTTGGAGCTTTTTTCAGGAAAAGGAGGGCTCTCGGCTTCGCTGCAGCAGCGGGGCTGGAGGGCCCGCACATGGGACATCAGAGATAGTGCCTCACAGGACTTGAGCAAAGAGAAATCCATTCGTGCGGTGCTAAAGCTTGTGCCGCAGGCCAGATGGGTCCACCTTGGCACGCCGTGCGCAAGTTTTTCAGGAGCGCGCCGAGGCAAGCCTGGCTCTCCAGGGGGCCCGCTGCGCTCCTGCGAGTTTCCCTGCGGTCTCCCAAGCCTTTCAGGAGCTGACGCCGAAAAGGTCCAGGTAGGCAATCAGCTGCTGCGAACCACAGTTCGTATCATCAGAGCTTGCGTCCGTCATCAAGTGCCAGTGTCGTTGGAGAATCCGCGTAGGTCCTGGCTGTGGAGGCAGCCCGGACTGGCACGCCTGTTGCGCCATGCGTCCCTCACGCACACAGTCTATTGTAAATATGGAATGCCGTGGCGGAAGGAGACCACCCTAGCGTGCTGGGACAACAAAAAGGGATTGTTGTCGCCGCTCGCCGCTCAGTGTGCCAGGGCCGTGTGTGTCTTTTCCAAGAAACCACATCAGGTCCTCGAGGGCAAGGCTCCCGGAGGCCGCCTGTGGACACAAGTCGCCGAGCCCTATCCGCCCCGTTTGCTGCAGCAATGGTCACAACTAATTCACGAGTCGCTTTTGGAGAAGGTGCCGCCTCAACCGCCAGATCGCATATAGTGGCGGTTGTTGGCAAGATTTGAGCTAGCTCGAAGATGCTGGCTCGCGTCCGGTCGCATTCGAGTTGCATGCTGCCCTGCGAGAATCATCTGTTCTGGCCTCAGGAATAAGGTGCATGTAGCAGCGTTGTGAAACAGAGCCCGCGGAGTGTCACAGAGCGTGCAATGCTCATAGTTCCCGCCTGGCCGTACTCACCTCGGCTCAAGCGGTTTTTCTCGGGCCCTAAGCCATCCCACTGCGTGCCTATTCAGTCTAGATGTATATCTAGTGCGTAAGCTGCGGCAAGATTTGAGCTAGCTCGAAGATGCTGGCTCGCGTCCGGTCGCATTCGCGTCCGGTACAAGAGACCCCCAAGACGGCCCTGGTCCAAGACGATCCAGGAAGGCTCCGCGATGGCTCGACCGACGCCCACGACTGCCCTACGACGTTGGTCCTTTCCGAAGACACCCAAGCTGAGCCGCCGGCAAAAACACAGTAAATCCAAAGAAGCCGTAGTAAGATGCCAAGAGCCCCCACGATGCACCAAAGAGGACGTCATTTGTGACAAAACTGCCGCACAGGCTGTCATGATAGCCCTCCCGGTCGTCATGTATCCTCCCTTCCCTCCATCGCTCCTACCAATCGCCTCCGCCTCCTCCACAATTACTCAATATGAATACTACTCTCCCTCTTCCCCTGATGGCGTGCTGGGAGTAGCCGACCCCCCCCCGCGTCCTGCTTGTTTACACAGGATTCCCGGGAGTTGGGTTTTCGCCTGCATGTTTCTTTCAAAATGCTGCTCTCGCTGAGGCGCCGGCCTCATTTTCGGGCCCCGCTCGTTCCGAATCGTGCTCCCGGTGCAGCGCTGGCCTCATTTCCGTGCTTCCGCTCGTTCCGAATCGTGCTTCCGCTGCAGCGCTGGCCTCATTTCCGCGCTTCCGCCCGTTTCGACTCGTGCTCCCGCTGCAGCGCTGGCGTCATTTCCCGTGCCATGCCACAGCACACGCGCACACACGCACACACACACACCACCACCACCACCACCACCACCACCACCATCACCATCACCATCACCATCACCATCACCATCACCACCACCACCACCACCCACCACCACCACCCACCACCACCACCACCACCACCCACACAACCACGCACACGCACGCACGCACGCACGCGCACCACCACCCACTACGCACGTGCGCGCGGTTCCACAGGTCCGCTATGATACGCGTCCGCGGATATAGAAAATCAGCGCCATGATAAGGGATGGGAGGGAGGGGTAGGACGTCAGATATGACGCGAGCGCATCTAGCTTGTCCTACCCCTTCCTCCTCCTCCTCCTCCTCCTCCTCCTCCTCCTCCTCCCCCCTCCTCATCCTCATCCTCATCCTCATCCTCCTCATCCTCCTCTTCCTCCTCCTCGTCATCATCATCATCATCATTACCACCATCACCATCTTCATCATTATCATCATCACCACCATCATCATCAGCATCAGCATCAGCATCATAACCAGCATCAGCATCATCATCATCACCATCACCATCAGCATCAGCAGAAGCACCAGCATCAGCATCATAATCCTCATCCTCATCCTCATCCTGATTATTATCTCGATCACCATCATCGTCATCATCATCATCATCAGCATCATCATCCTCATCCTCATCCTCATCATCGTCACCATCCTCATCCTCACCCTCACCCTCACCCACATCCTCATCCTCATCCTCATCCTCATCACCATCATCAGCTTCATCATCATCATCATCACCATCACCATCACCATCACCATCTCGATAAGATTCACCATCATCATCACCACCACCATCATCATTTCCATCATCATTACCACTATTGTCCTATCCACCATCATCATCATCATCACCATAATCGTCACCATCATCAGCATAGTCGTCAGCATCATCATCAGCATAATCATCACCTCCATCATCTCCACCACCGCCATCATACGAGTCTCCAACCTCTCTCTCCTCCCATCTCCTCCCCCCCCTCAGCCCTGTCTGCCCCACCCTCCTTTCCGTTCCGCGCCGGCGCGCCCCCAGGAGCAGCGCGCGGGGCGTGCTTGGTGTAGGCGCCTCGCCCCGCCGCGACGGCCACGGCCACGGCGCGGCGCCGGACAGGCGCGTCGCCGTCCACGCGCTGCCACTTCGGCGTCCTGCGCGGCCGCCTCGTCGTCCTCCTCGTCGTCGACCTCCTCCTTGTCCTCCTCCTTGACCCGTTCCTCCTCCTCCTCCTCCTCCTCCTCCTCATCCTCCTCTTCCCTCTCATCCTCCGCACTCCTCCTCCTCCTCCTCCTCCTCCTCCTCCTCCTCCTCCTCCTTTCTCTTCCTTCTCTTCCTTGCTCTCCTCCTCCGTCTCGCTCTTCCTCCTCCCCCTCCTCCTCCCTCTCCACCTCTTCTCTCCTCTATCTTGTTGTCCTCCTCTTTCCTCTCCTCCTCCTCCTCCTCCTCCTCCTCCTCCTCCTCCTCCTCCTCACTCCTCACGCCTCTCCTTCTCCTTATAACAAGCTCCTTCTCCTTAGGGCAATATCCTTCTCTCGTCGCCCTCCTAGACGTGTCGGCAGGCTGGGCTGGGCGGTTCGCCTGAGACGTCCTTGCCAGCTGTAGTCATGGCACCTGGCATTCGCAACAGTGGTGCGGATGGAGGGCGGGACGTTTTCTATAGGCGGCGCTTCTCGCTACCATGCCGCGCAGCCAGCCTTTACTGTGGGAGTTGGCCCCTGCCGCAGCTTTCTCCTGCCTGTTTCATACAACGCGCTTACACAGCTTTCCGGAGAGAGAGTGTTGATTCACATGTTCTCCCTTGAGTGGGAGGTTGGGCTAAGATGGCGCATCGCTGATGCCGGCTTGCAGTGAGTTCCTGATCCAGGCACCGTGAAGGGCATGTTTGACAGTGATGACAGATGCAAAGGTCGCAGTGACAACCAGAGGAGGCGCCCCCGTCGCCCCGCAGTGCAACCTTCAGCTGCACGCGATCGACGAGATGGTGGTGACGGGCGTGACAGACGAGACGATCGTCTGAGACACGATGCTTATCAGTGTGACCAGGACAGAAAAGGGCATCGAGGCGCTCACGTGTAATCTGGATAAGCGGTTGCGTTGGCTGGGGCCGACGACGTTCCTACTATTTCTTTGTGATTAAAACATACCGCCGCGTGGTCAGGGCGCGCATCGGCATTCGCCTGAGCCTGTTCGCAGAGAGGCCCTTAGGGACGGGGTTTCGCAGAGAGGCCCCGATGGACGGTGACGCTGGTGATGGTGCTGACCCTCCTGTCGACGGGCCTTCCACGCCTGGTGTTGACGAGGACCCTCTTCTGGCCAGGGATCCCAGGGCCCTTGACCCCGAGACTGCGAGACTCCTTGGACGGTGCATCGGAGGGCTTTCGGGTTTCCATCCGTCGTGGTGCCGCGGCCGCCGCTGCTGCCCAACCTGGCAGGGTGGCGACGGGCCTCCACAAGCGGTTCCTCACGGAACAGTCCCGCATTTCACACCGCATCGACAAGAAGGCACGCGTGTGGCATGGCATTCGGCAGAGACAGGAGCGCACCGACCAAGATTACGCCAAGATGCGGACCGCAGTCATGAGAGGCAGTCTGACTTGGCACGCGCCAGAGCGCAGGCTCCCCTCACCATCGCTGACCTCGCCAAGTGTGGCCGCAATCTCGACCCACGCGCTTTCTCGACGTGTTTGGTTGCGCTCCTCCCGCTTTACGTTTTCCTTTTGATGGGGTGTTATTGTCATTATTTGTATTGAGGATGCAATCTCACCGCCACGCAGTGCGAGCTCGGTGTGGACGTCCTTGCCTGCAGGCTGAAGCATCCGTTCGCACCACGCAGCTCGTGCGACGTCTTCGTACCTCAGCGGGTTGTCGTGGTTTCATATACTTGTCTTAAGTCGGGCTTGTCCCTCTACAGGAGTAATCAAAAATAGTCAAAAATAGCATTGGGACGATTTCGTCAGTTTTTCTAAATTATTTTGGGGGTATGTTTTGATGATTTTTTCGTTATTCGCCCAAACTCCCCCTGTAGAGGGACATGCCCGACCTAAGTCTTGTCCACAGACAATGCGCAGTGCGGTCTGCTCGTGTCGACGGACAGGAACGCGAAGATGGTCAGTGGAGGGGTGCAATCTCAGAATCAACATCGTCAGTAACGCCGTCGATCTTCGCCCCCCCCCCCCCTCGGCTTCCCCCCCCCTTGTGCAGTCAAGTCAAGGATGGGTGGCATCAAGAGCGAGTCCGACTTGTGGTTGCTCATTCCAGGGGCTTCGACGTGTTCGGCCGCCACCGCGATGAGGCTGTTCAGCGCAAACTGGAGCGAAAAGCCGCCCGCAGATCGAGGCCCCTCCGGATCCCGTGGGCTAGGCCGCTCAGGCTCGAAGTCGTCTGGGTGCACGCGCATGATGATGATGATGATGATGCGATGCGTGTCCAGATGCGCTCTTCTGCCACGGGTTCACGAGATTCCCTCTACGTAGCATCTTTCAAGCTGCCCGCCAACATTTGGAGCCCTTCTTCGCCGCGTGTGAGGGCGATGCCCAGGCCATTTCTCATGTCCTTTGTGACTGGCAGTGCCCCCCCCTCCCCCCGTTCGCGTTGCCCTCGATGCCCCAATCGATCCCACCCGCCCCTGCTCTCGCCCCTGGTCTCCACAGCGCCAAGCCCAGCAAGCCTGGCCCTGACAGACTTCCATATATGTCGGGGCTGGACAGACCCCCCGCCCTGACACGTCGATTAGGTAATTGGCCGTTACCGGTTCGCGAGAGGGCGTCGCGGCCGTCATTTTTGCGGGTCCAGGTCCGTCGGTGTCTGTCCCAGGCCGTTCTCAAGAAAGGGTGGTTTACTAAAGGGAGGTTTGGCAACCGCTGATATATGCAGTTTGGCTGTCCCGTCCGCGTGCCACCGGCACTCCGCTCTCGGTGCTTGAGTACGTGTGCGCAGGGGTTTTCTTTCTCCGTTATGGGCTCGCCATTTTGAGAGGAGGAGGGCAGCGACCAGGCGCGAGTCGCTTGGAAGCGCCAGCACTTACGCCCGTCCAGTCTCAAGACTTCCGGTTTCAGTCGCCAAGGCCTTCAGCTTAGCCAGCATTCCACTGAGCCTCTAGTTGCCGAGCGAGCGCATCTTAGCCATCAGGGAATGTCGAGGCTCGGCGGGCTGGATGGCTCGATCTGGGCTCCTCTCGCCGCCCCCTCCTCCTCGTCACTTTCGATTTCAAAACCGCCTTTCCTAGTCTTTGTCGGACTTGGCTCGACGTGTTCCTGGTGCACGATGGGCTCCCTCCCTCCTCCCTCCCTCCCTCCCTCCCTCCCTCCTCTTCCTCCTCGCTCTCATCCTTCTGTTGCCTTGACGTTCTTCTTGCTGCACTCCTCCTCCTCCTCCTCCTCCTCCTCCTCCTCCTCCGCTCCTTCGGCTGTGTGTACTTTCACAACTGCCCATTCCTTTGACGAAAGTGGGCGCAGATGTCTCAGATGCTTCAGCTCCGCTACCATCGCAGCTCGTGCCGCCTAGTCTGCTCGCCCGTGTTTCGTCCCAACTAACATTGATGTTGTGATTTGTGGGCTCCCCGAAGGGGACACGCTGCATATTGCGGGAGGGGAGGTGCATAGTAGTCATCGGATGCGTTTACATAAGGGGATAAAGTTGTGGTTTTGTTGTCAGTGTGGGAGTTAGGCCAGTCAGTGTTTAAGAGGCCTCGGATCCCCGTGTCTAGAGGCCGCGAGTCCCAAGCGTGATGAGTATTTGGCCAACATAGCGGCAGGCCGTTGGCCTAAGGCCCAAGGCCGAGCCAAGCCATCTCGTCAGGGGCCGTCAGTCACCGAACTCGCTTCGCGACCGTAGTCACTCACTCACTCACTCTTCCTCCTCCTCTTCCTCCTCCTCCTCCTCCTCCTCCTCCTCCTCCTCCTCCTCCTCCTCCCCCCTCCCTCTCATCCGTTTCCTACCTCTTCATCCGTTCTCCTTCCGCCTCCGTTCCGACCTACCTCCTCATCCCATGATCCGCGCTTTCAAACAAATACGTGTTTCGGTGCAGACCGCTAGCGCGCCTCATTTCCGTTGTCGGCGTCGTCGGCGTCGTAGTGCGTGTTGCACCGTTCGGGGATTGTTTTCTTTCTGCAGTGGCCACTACCCTCGTCGTCGTCGTCCTCCTACTCCTCCTCCCCGTTTCTCATCAATGTCCTTATTCATCCTCTTCCCATCCTGTATTGTCCCGCCTCCTCGTCGTCATCCCGACCTCTTACGTTTTGGGTGGTTCAGCATCGAGGTTCGAAGAACGAGGAATTACGTTTGACGTCTTAAATATCAAGGGAGGAACAACAACCCGGACTGGACAATTGGCGTTTACCAAACGGCCTTGAGCGTTAATTAAACAGCCTTGCCCTTTTCGATCCCTTCTTTGGGCACGTTTGCTAAACGACTTCGCGTGTCGTTGTGGTAATTCTGGGGGTGGATTTGTTTGACTTCTATAGAAGGTCGGGAGCGAGGGTCGAGGTCTTACAGTCGGGGCGCTGAAGAAGGAACCCTTTTCGATGGGGAGGGGCTTGGTGCTCCTTGATTGTTTACAGTTTGCCTACGGTCTTCCGGGTTTTTTTTTCATGGGAAATCGCAGGCTACCTTTTGGAGAAAGGGGCCTCGTTCTTCATTTAGGGTTCCTTAGGTCAACGCCCCGACGGTATAGGGGGCCACGAGGACCGAGGCCCCAGAGCTCGAGGGGCGCAGTTCGTGGATCGAGGCTGGGGGGCGCCGCCTGCTTCCTGGGCCTCCTGCCAGGCGATCGCAGACATGGATCAGGGGAGCGCAGAGGAGGAGGAGGAGGAGGAGGAGGAGGAGGAGGAGGAGCGAAGAGGAGGAGGAGGAGGAGGAGCGAGGAGGAGGAGGAGCGAGGAGCGAGGAGGAGCGAGGAGCGAGGAGGAGCGAGGAGGAGCGAGGAGGAGCGAGGAGGAGGAGGAGAAGCCTTTTCCGTCTGCCTCCTGACATGCCGGCTCCGTCTATGCAGAGGATGCTCCGGGAATTGCTCCGAAGGCCGCAGGCCTTCCGAACCCCTTCTGAGACGGCCCTCCCTGTAAGGGCCTTGCCTTCGAGGATCGAAGGAGTTGCCATCTCTTCCACGGCGGAAGGCGGCGGTAGGCTGTCGGAAGTAGAACGATCAGGCGATCGCAAACATGAATCAAGGGGGCGTGGATTAGCGACGGGTCACGGATTTCTGCCGCCGAGCGAGGCGGCACCAGCCGCCTTTCTGAGGAAGGCACCTCTCCCGATCCATGGATTTGGCGACCGCGCGCCAAATCCATGGATCGCTAATCCATGTTTGCGCGCCCCCGATCCTGGACCACCCTCGCCGCCTAGGCCTCAGCTCCGCCTCAAGGGTCCGTCCAGGACGCACCGCTGCCGTGTTCGGGCTCTAGGTGAGTCGAGGACATGTTCGGGACGAAAGGTTTGTCCACTTCGGACGGAACCAGGACAAGGATGGATCCGTTCCTGAGCGGTCCGGAACGCTCTCAGAGCGTTCCGCAAATGCTTTGAAAAGCCGCGGCGCCCGAGACATCTTCCAGAGTCGCTGGATCTCAGAGATTCTCGATTGATCTTCACCCGAGTTTGTGCAGTGGAGACCCATGCCAAGAAACATCCTACTTGCCTCCGGGGTGCGCTGGGTTCCTTCGGTTCCGAAGGTTTTGCAAAAAGAAAGCGCGACCTTCCCACACCCAAAATCAATGGACGGCAAGCGTGACGTCCACCACAGAGAACAGCCTGAATTGAAAAGCCACGTCGTCGGAGATCTGGGCGTGCGTCACCTGGATCTGGCGCCCATCATCTTGTTCGCGTCGCAAGGGCTCTGTCTTGGAGCGGCGGTCATGGCCAAGACCGGGTCACATTAGCCCCGCTGGGTGGCGGGGCCAACGCGGGGTCAAAACCAGCCGCGTTGGGCTCCCGAGGGCTCCCGAGAGGGGTCACACAGCATGCCCGCCAGCACGGGTGTGTGACTGTCGCAGGTTGGCAACGCTGCTGCATGGACGCGGCCATCTGAGCGACGCAGAGACAACGGGGTCGTCTTCGCCGACGTTCGCGCGCATTCTGCCCGCGTAAGCTCGCGCGTAAGCGCCCCCGTTCCGAATGTAGCGTGCCGCGCTGGCGGCCCTCGCAAGCCGCGGCGTGAGGCCGCTGTGTCATATCGCTTTGGCCAGGCCCCCCGGTCGTCGTCGTCGTCGACGTCATCGTAGTCGTGGTCGTCGTAGTCGTTGTCGTCATCGTCGTCGTAGTCGTCGTCGTCATCGTCATCGTCCTCGTCGTCGTCGTCCTCGTCGTCCTCGTCGTCGTCGTCCTCGTCGTCCTCGTCGTCTTGCCGTCGTCGTCGTCGTCGTCGTCCTCGTCGTCGTCGTCGTTCTCGTCGTCTCCACCGCCGCCAGGCCCCCAGGCCGCGGCTCCGCGGCCGCCGGCCGGCGGGACGACCGCCGCGAGCCGCCCGCCTCTTGGGAGCAGCGCGCCGCGGAAGGCCGGGGCCGGCGCCCGCCGGGCGCCGCCCGCCGCTCAGGAGCATGTTTTTTTAGACTCTGGCAAGTTTACTTGCGTGGACGGGGGGGGGGGGGGGCTGAGCCTGAAGCAAGCCCGGGGGGGGGCGCGGAAATCACGCAAGTCGAAAGGCATTTGCACGCTAGTATTCGCTTGAAGAGGGGCGGGGGGGGGGGGGGGGGGGGGGCGAACGCCATGCAAGTAAACTTGCCTGAATCCAAAAAAAACAGGCTCTTGTTGGATCCAGGCAGGTTTACTCGCGTGGCGCTCGCGCCCCCCCCCCCCCCCTCGCCCCTCCTCGAGCAAAAGCCAGCGTGCGGGTGCCTCTCGACCTGCGCGCTCTCCGCACGCGTGCGTGTCGTCTGCGGCCTGCTTCAGGTTCAGCCCCCTCCCCCCCCGTCCATGCAAGTAAATTTGCTGGAGTCTCAAAAAGGAAAACAGGCTCGCAGATCTAGGCCTCCAGGGGCCGTGGAACGATATACGAGAATTCTTACGCATGTCATACACATCCGACCCGGAAATCACAAGTGCACGGTAAACCAATGATGTAGTCGCTCTTGAGGGGCGCAGGTTCCAAGGGGTTTCGCCGTGTTTTGCTTCCCTAGGCCCTCCACGGAACCCAGGGCCATCCGAAAACAGTCCGGGATGAAAATAGCAGGTCCAGAGGGAAGGCCCCGAGCCCCAGGACCCGAGTCTCCCAGGACCCGTCGCTCCCATGCCGACAGATCTAGGCCTCCCATGGGTCTGAGGGTCGCGCCGCATCGGCGATGCGGCTTGACGTGGAGCCCGATGCTCTCCGCGCCGACGTCGCAAGCGCCTCGCCGACGTCGCCAGTGCCTCGCCGATACATCGCAGATGCCTCTCCAATGCATCGGCAGCCCCATCTATCAAGCAGTGGCGAAGCGTCCTGGCTCGCCTATAGCCCTACCAAACAATGTTCTAAGAACCTTTTGTGGTTTCCAGGAAGTGTTCTTAGAGCATTTCTGGCGGAGTCTGCCTTGTTTTAACACATCGGGTTTATGTTCTAAGAGCATTGTGCTTGTTCTTAGAACATTTTTGGGTTCTAAGAGCACTTCGTGGTAGGACTATAGGAATGCCGGGACGGTCGGTCCCTGCTCAAATCTACCTTGACCCGATGCAGGAGGCCTCTGTGAGAGAAGAGGGTCCCTTCGACGAGGAGGGGGAGGGACCACCGCTGCCGACAGCTTAGCGGTGAGGATCGGCCCCTGGGCGGTGGCCCGCCGGAGGGTCGCCAAACGTGCCAGACGACGCTCAGGGCGGACGTGCCACCGCCCGGGGGTGGGTTCCCTCTACCAAGTAGGGGATCGACTACAGAATTGGTTTACCCCAAACTTGATTTTCTCGTCGAGGGCACGATGCACGAAGAATGCGCAGAACGCTCGTAAGTCATTCCACGTACTTCTTGCAGTCTCGACGAGAAAATCAAGTTTGGGGTTAACAAATCCTGTAGTCGATCCCCTACTCGAGAGAGGGGGCTCTTCGGCTGCGCCTGGGGAGGACCCTTCGCGACGGGCGAGCGAGGGGGGAAGTGAGAAGGAGAAGGCCTCCCTCTGAAGGCGGCGGGGCTTCCCAGGAGCCCTCGCGCCTCCTGAGAGGTTTCCATCCCGTCGTCGGGATGGCCCGAGAGAGCTCCTCAGAAGGCCCGGGGACCTCCGAGCCCTCTAAGACGTCCCGCAAGTGAGCCCCGGGAACGGCAGGGCGGTTTTGTTCATCGTTTTCGAAAAGAGTCTCTTGAAAGTGGAACGGTACAAAAGCGGCGACCAGAAACGGCAAACAAAACGGCTCCAGGATTGGAATTGGAGCCGGAACCTGCAAACAAACAGGCGACGCACGTGGCCAAGGAAAACGGCGACGGAACCAACAAGGAGCGGCAAAACGGAAGCGGCAACACAATTGTTTGGTCGTTTCCAGGGTCCGTCTGAGTTCCCGCCCCTTCTCATGCGCCCTCGCGCCTCTGAGACGTTTTCTTCGTCGTCGGGAGAGGCCGGGAGAACTTCTCAAGAGACCCAGGGACCTCCGTGCCTTCTGAGACTTTCCGCACCTTTTTCTTAGGATCGTTCGGACGTGTGCAATTGCCCTCGGCGAGGACTAGCGAGGAGCATCCTGGACCATCGAACCTTCAAGACGCATGGAGGGTGCCAACGGAACCTGGCAGTTCCGTTGGCACCCTCCCTATACATGTATTCGCAATGGCAAGTCTTTGCGCTCCGCCACAAAACGAAATCATGTTGTAATCCCTTTGCATTCCGTCGCAAAGGGAATCTCGATGGCGAGCTCCTTCTGAGACCTCCCGCCCCTTCTCACTTTCCCGCCCTGGGGCTGGCCACCGAGACGTGCCACCGCCCAGGGGTGGTGTGCGGGCACGATCTTTATCCACGTCCGCTGCGTCCTGGATTCCCTGAAGGGGTGACAACGGGGCGCGGCGCAGTGAAGGATCATGGGTAAACATCGAACCTCCAGAGGCGAAATGGTTCTATCCATCTCCACGGCTAGAAGAAGAACAAAACACATAAACATACACTTCTGGCGCTCCGCGCGGATTTCTTGGATTCGCGCCTGGGCCCCCCCAGGCGGCGCCTCCGGCGCCGCCCTTGGCACGCGGAGCGCCAGAAGTTCACGTTTATGTGGTGTTTTCTTTTGGTCCAAGTCCACGGCGCCTCTGGCATCGCAGGAAGGAAGCCCGAGACTCCAAGACGCCGCGGATGCGGGTACAGGGCGGCCAACGCCTCCCCCGCTGGCGGCGCTCCTCTCGCGAAGAAGAACAAAACGGCATGAACATAAACTTTTGGCGCCCCGCTCGGATTTCTTGGATCCGCGCTGGGCCCCCCCCCCCCCCCCCCGCGGCGCCCCCGGCTCCGCGCCTGGCGCGCTCCGCGCGCCAGGGAGGGGGGTCCAGCGCGAATTCAGGAAATCCGCGCGGAGCGCCACACGTTTATGTTTGTGGCGTTTGTTCTCCTTTGGAGAAGTGCCTCGGAGCCTTCCCCGAGGGCGCAAAAGAAACACCAGAAGCGCTCTGAGCCTCGAGCCTCGACGAGCTCCGAGCCTCGAACCCTCGAACTTCGAAGCAACACCAACGGTCGCTCCAGCGAGGGTCGGCGGCGGGCGGGAGGGGGGGAGTGAGAGGCAGAAGACCTTCTCAGAAGGTTCGGAAGTCCCCCGGCCCTCAGAGACGTGACCTCAGGAGTGCTCGGAGCCTTCCCTTCTGAGCCGTCGATTTGCTGCCGACTCGATGTTCCAGAGGCGCCCAATGGCGAAAAAAACGGCCCTGCCGTTTCCGTCGCCCATCAAGGGCGGGACGTCTCAGAGGGCTCGGAGGTTAGCTCTCTCGGGCTTTCCCGACGACGGAGAGAACCTCTCAGGAGGCGCGGGGGCTTCTGGGAAGTCCCGCCGCCTTCAGAGAAGGCCTTCTCCTTCTGACTTCCCCCCTCGCTCGCCCGTCGCGAAGGGTCCTCCCCAGGCGCAGCCGAAGACCCCCCTCTCTCGAGTGGGGGATCGGCTACAGAGTTTGGTAACCCCAAACCTGATTTTTTTTAATCGAGACTACAAGAAGTACGTGGAATAACTTATGAGCGTTCTGCGTATTCTTCGTGCATCGTACACTCGACGAGAAGAACAAATTGGGGGTAAACCAACTCTGTCGTCGATCCCCTACTTGATAGAGGGGGGTCTTCGGTTGCGCCTGGGAGGGACCCTTCGCGACGGGCGAGCGAGGGGGACGTGAGAAGAAAGAACCCTCTTAGCAGGCGTCGGGACTTCGCAGAAGCCCTTGCGCCTTCTGACGGGTTTTTGTTTGTGCCTTCGGGGAAGGCTCAGAGCACGCCTTAGAAGGCCAGGGCACTTCCGAACCTTCTGTGAAGGCTTTCTCCTTCTGTTTCTCCCCCCCTCCCGCCCGCCGCCGACCCTCGCTGGAGCGATCCTTGGTGTTGCTTCGAAGTTCGAGGGTTCGAGGCTCGGAGCTCGTCGAGGCTCGGGGCTCGAAGTTGTTGGGCGTTTTCTTAGGTTCTCAGCGGCTCTCCAGCATCGGGATGCCTTCCGGTGGCTGCGCCTGACCGAGAGCGTTCCGGGGTGGCCTGGATCGTTCCGAAGGGCCGCTGGACGGCCAAAATGTGACCAGAAGAGCAGGGGGCAACGAAGGAGCCATAGGCTCAGGGGGGGAACGCATCGACCCCCAATCTCGCAGGCCTAGAGGTTGACACCAACACCAAGATCGGCGGTGCGCCTCTACCGAGGGAAGACGATCCCGATCTCGGTGATGTTGGTAATATTCTGGCTTCAGGGTTACCGACACATTTTACCACCAACACCGAAATCTAGGATCATACTCCCCACGTGGAGGCAAACCCTTGTGCTGGTGTTGGTGGCAATTCCCATGCCTCCAACAATCGCCCATTTATCGCCGATAGGGGCCCGATAGCCCGCCCCGCCCAGAAACGTGCGGTTTCGCTCATCCGATCTATCGGCGATGTACCGTTGATTCCAGCTTGCTGTCATCCACCTGAGCTGGCTTCCCCTTGATCGCTGCCCCTCACCAATGGTGTCGGACGATTGTTCCTTCGGGTTGCGTTCGGCCTCGCGTCGGCGCACGCACGACGCAGCTCAGTGGCTGCGCTCGAGTCCGAGCGCGCATGGTCTCAGGCCCCTCTTCGAGAGGGACCGCGGCGCGTGCGCGGCGCACCCTGCGGCGCGCGTTGGTTTCCCGAGGGGGGGGGGGGAGGGGGGGGGGGCGGCCGATCGGGCGGCATGCCTTCATGCTTCGGCTGGGCTCAAATCGGCCGCGGCGAGTGTCGAACCGGCCGCCGCAACGAAAACGTGGAATTGTTGTTGATATGAATCCCAATGTTCCACTTCCATTTTTTATTCACTATCCAGATGCCTCCGGCAATTCCGCGACGGTGCCAGCGCAGCATTCTGGGTTCGTGTTCCCATTTTGAGGCCCTTCTTGAGGCCTTCTTTGGGCCCTATTGGGCAGTCGTAGTCGTGGGCGCCTCTTGGGCCATCTTGGAGCCCTAGTGAGGCGTGTTGGATCTCTCTTGGGGGCCTCTTGATCTGTCTCGGGAGAGTATTGGGGGCCTCTTGGGCAGTCTTGGAGCGTCAGAAGTTCAAAAACATTTATGAAGTCGGAACACCGGAGCGTCGTCGTCGTTGGGCCGTCGGAGCGTCGGAGCGTCGGAGCGTCGAGGACCCAACAAACATGAGTGGCGTCAAAGAGCATCAATTGTTTTTGTCCCTCGGGATCCTTTCGCGGGCCTCTGAGGGACATCTTTTTGGCCGTCTTGGCGCTTCCTTGGCTCTTTTTGGGCGGACGGCCCGAATGGTCGATTCGTGTTCACCCTCTTGGGTCCCTCATGGGGCCGTCTTGCGACCGTCTTTGGCATTATTTGGCGCTCTGTGGGCGTCTTTGAGCCCTCTTTGGCCGTCCTGAAGCTCTCCTCCCGGGTCATCGGAAGCTCGAAAAGGCGACAAGCCGACAAAAAACACAGGAGTATAAGGAGCGTGACTGATTCTTACCTCTCGCGGCCCTGTTGGGAATGCTCTCGGGGCTCTCTTGGGACGCCTCGACGGCCTCGTGGGCCGACTCGAAGCCATCTTGAGCCGTCTTGGCGCGCTCTGCGGCCATCCTTGCGGCCTGGGTGGCCTGCTCTGGCCGTCCCGGAAGCCATCTTGGGCACCTTGGGGCGCCCTGGAGAGTCATCCAGGGGGGGCGTGCGGCGCCGCCTCGGGGCGAGAGCCGGCGGTGCACGCAGGCAGGGGCGCGCACCGAGCCGAGGGGGGCCCAGAGGAAATGGCGGGCACCAGCCCAGGCTCGTGCTGGCACGTTGCCACGCCTCAAGAGCTGCAGCTTTTGTTTCCTCGGGCACACAACGCGCGTTGTGTGGCCTCCCGCCCACCCGCCCACCCAGTAGAGAACAGGACGCCCTCCGCTTCACCCGCCCCCGTTGCAGCAGCGCCCGTTGCTCAGCGCACAGGTCTGTCTGCTGCTCGTAGTGCGCGCGCCACGTGTTATGTCATGTGATGTGCCAGCGAACCCACGCACCCACCCAGCTACATAACGCGCGTTATGCAGTTTCAGAAAAACTTGAGTTCCAACGTGCACAAGGCACGGTGGCGGATTGAAAGTTATCCCCTTGGAGGGATACTGTCAGACATCGTCACGATGCAGCCCGGCTTGCTGGGCCTTCTCGCGGTGGCGCCCGGCAGTTTCTGCGTTCGGAGCGCTTTTGGGGGTGTCATGCGGGGCGCACAGATCGAACGAGTGGAATGCCGCAGTTGCACGCTGGCGCTGCGGATCTCTCGGGACGCGCCCCGCCGATCGTTGATGCGGCTCGACAGCATGGACTTGCGCGGTTGCGTTGAGGCCCCGCAGGTCCCCCCAAAAGCCGCGCACCAAAGGGCACTCTTGAAGGATGTGGCCACTCCTACATGCAGGCGGGTCTTTGGGTGACCCAGACCTTGGAGGCCCGACAGCTTCTTCGCAGAGGCGGAAATGGTCTTGAAGGTCTGCAGGTTCTGGTGCTGGCTTTGGTGCTCGGAGTTCGGTGAGGTTCGAGGTCTGATTTGTTGTTTGTCTTTTCGTATGTTCTCTGCGATTGTTCAGCCTCGGGATGCCTTCCGTCGGCTGCGCCTCGTCGAAGGACGTCCAGGGGTGCCCAGATCGTCCCGTAGGGCCGCTTGAGGCCCAAGTTGTGTCCCGAAAGCGAGTGGTCCATACCCTCTTGCGTCGTAAAGCTCTCCGACGCGAAGGTCCAATCTGTGCACCGCCTTTTCTGCCGCTTTCCTCTGCGAGCATCCGGGCGTGAGCAAATCTAAGCGCGAGTAGGACTGGGCACGTGCAGGTCCGAGTGTGAGCGTTCCTCTCTGGGAGGATCGGTGCGTATGCTGGATGCCCTGCTGGCCAGGCCAGGAGTGCGCACCTGCCAGTACATACCAGACAGTTTTTGTTCCGTAGACGCGCCAAGGTTTTTTTAGCTAATGGCGATGTAGGAGAACCAATTGTAGGAGAGCGTGGTTCGCGGCCAAACCACGTGTAGGGACGCGTGCTTCGTGTGTTCCTACAGCTCGCTGTGTCGTTCTCGTTCGATACAGTCGCATATTTGAAATGTAGGAAGCGGCGTTTCGTGATGTCCTAGATGTTGTTCTGCGTGAGCTCGGCGTCACGAACACCATCTTCCCAACCTCGCCATTAACCAAGCACGCCGTTAGTGCGGCCTTGGCTTCCAGTGTCTGGCGATCATGTGGGCTATCGGGCCCGACCGCCCTCCCCCCCACCCCCGGCAATCCTGACCTTGTTGATTGCGCAGGTCTCGAGGGCGTTCGCGGGTCTGGCACGCGTGGGCACACGCCGCTGCGCTACGCTGCGCCCGATCGGCCCGAAGGCCGTGCCAATCTAGAACTTGGGGGAACACCAGACGTGCGATCGGCTCGCGTGGCTTCTCGGGCAGGCCGGGGCGGGGGGCAGCGAAGGAGGGCAGGCGAGAGGGGGCGGGGGAGGGGGGCATACGTGGGGATGCCCACCGCAGAAAATCTGTGGGCATCGGCCGGACCCCCCCCCCTCCCCTCGCCTCCCAAGTGATGACCCCGGCGATCCCCGAGAGCTAGGAGGCAAGATCTGCTGGGCCCAGGACGGTTCAGAGCCCCGAATCATCAGGGGTAACTCGGGTCAGGGCTAATTCGGGGTCCTTTTTTCGGGAATCTAAACCCGAGTTACCCCGGACCCGAGTTACCCCGGATAGCTCGGGCGCCCAAGCGCTCCTGGCCAGGATCGCCGAGCTGGTCAGGCGACGCCGCCCGATGGGTTTCGGCTGGGCCTGGGCCCTGGGCCAACAGCGTCGGCGGCGAGCCCAGGGGGACAGCGAGAGGGGGCAGGCGTTCTCAGACGGCTGCGAGGCTTCTCAGAAGCGCCGTCGTGGCCCGGACCAGGAGGGGGAGGAGGAGGAGGAGGAGGAGCGAAAGGAGGAGCGAGGAGGAGGAGAGGAGGAGGAGGAGGAGGAGGAGGAGGAGGGAGGAGGAGGAGGGAGGAGGAGGAGGAGGAGGAGGAGGAGGGGGAGGAGGAGGAGGGAGAGGGAGGAGGAGGAGGAGGAGGAGGAGGAGGAGGAGGAGGAGGAGGAGGAGGAGGAGGAGGAGGAGGAGGGGGGGGAGGAGGAGGAGGAGGAGGAGGAGGAGGAGGAGGAGCAGGAGCAGGAGCAGGAGCAGGAGCGAGCAGGAGGAGGAGGAGTAGGAGGGGGAGGAGGAGGAGGAGAAGCCTCCTCCTTCGGCCAAGCCTCCTCCGGCCTCCTGATATGCCGGCTCCGTCTATGGAGAGAATGCTCCGGGAACTGCTCCGAGTGCCGCAGGCCTTCCGAACCCCTTCTGAGACGGCCCGCCCTGTAAGGGCCTTGCCTTCGAGGATCGAACGAGTTGCCATCTCTTCCGCGGCGGAAGGCGGCGGTAGGCTGTCGGAGGCAGAACGATCAGGCGATCGCAAACATGGATCCAAGGGGGCGTGGATTAGCGACGGGTCCCGTTTCCATGGGAAATCGTGGATTTCCGCCGCCGAGCGAGGCGGCATCGGCCGCATCTTAGGGAGGGCACCTCACCCGATCCATGGATTTGGCGACCGCGCGCCAAATCCATGGTTCGCTAATCCACGTTTGCGCGCCCCCGAAAAGAGGCCGCCTCCGCCGGCGGAAGCTCGGAGGGAGGCGGCGGATGTAAAAGATGTGCTCCCAAGAGATAAAAGCGTGTTTTGGGTGCCGGTTTCCGAACTCGCCCAAACGGATCATCGAGCCCGTCGTCCCCACTTGGTCTTCGCTCGTTCGTTCAGCCCTGGACGCCCGCGCGGCCAGGCCCGAGTGGCGCGCGCCGCCCTGGCGACAGCGGCGTGCCCGACGCCTGGGACGACTAGCCGGCGGGCCTCCTATTTGAGCCGGCCATTGCCGCACACATTGAGCTTTAGGCCTCCCAGATGGGGTCGGAGGAAGGGGGCTCGAGGTTATGGGTTCGGGAAGCTTTTTGGGAGCCTGTTTTTGTTTAAACAAATCCAGCAAGTTGATTTGCATGGACGGGGGGGGCTCAACCGTAAGCAAGCCGCAAAAGGCTTGCACGTGCGGAGATCACGCAAGTCGAGAGTCACTTGCACGCTAGTTTTCGTTTGAAGAGGGGCGAGGTGGTGGGGTGTGTGGGGGGGTGGAGAGGCGAACGCCATGCAAGTAAATTTGCCTGAATCTGAAAAAACGCTCTTGCCTTGTTTTGCCTCCATGGGGGCTGTTTTTGAGCCCGAGACCGTCGGCAGCGACCGATTCCGAGGTTTGTGCTGCGGTTTGGGGAAGGGGCCTCGTGTAACAGAGGGAGGCTGTGTAGCCAAGGCAGGCGAAGGAGGAGATCTCGCGCGCAGCACCAAGGAGCTTTTGTGCAATCAGCTTGGGGAGGGGCCTCGTCTGAGAGGAGGGGGCCTGCGCAGCAGAGGAGGGAGGGGGGGGGGGCCGGTGCAGTGAGGAAGGGCACGCATAGCACCTCAGAGTGTGTCAGAGCAGCTCGGGGACGGGCCTCGCCGAACAGAGGGGTACGTCCAACATTAAGTCGGACCTGTCCCCCTACAGGGGGATGTTCGATGATTTGTTTTAAAGATAATATTAAAGAAATATAGTATAGTCCAAAAATAATCAGGTGATTCTGTTTGGGGTATTTGTTTTGCCTTTTTGGGGCATTGTCGGGGTATTTTTTATTTTTTCGTCGCAAATGCCCCTGTGGAGGGACACGCCCAACATACGTCTAACACCACCGAGTTTGCTGTGCAGCACAGGGGGGCTGCGAAGGGGGAACAGCAAGTCTAGCACCGAGGAGCTGTTCTTCAATCACTTAGGCAAGGGACCTCGTCGGGAACAGGGGCACGTCTAGCAGCTGGGACGCCGGCAAGGAATACGGAAGAGAGAGAGAGAGAGGGAGGGGGAGGCAGAGAAAGAGCAAGGGGTAGAGAGAGAGTTCGGCAGAGGAACCCTACAACACACACACACACACACACTTTGTGGCGTCGCGTTCCTGCGCGCGGCGGTAGGGCGTAGCAAGGTCAGCGAAGATGGCGCGCGAGCGTCTAAAGGCCAGCAGCACACACGCGCACGCAAGCACACGCACCCATGCAGACCGACATGCATACATGCACACAGATCACACCTGCACCCAACCACGCGTCCATTTATATACATACACAACATATCACACGCACATCACATGCAGATCCACTTCACGCATACATGCAATACCCAATACTACAACACGCACCTACATATACATATACTCATACACACTACGACCATACATTCATATACGTACGTGTACGCGCACACGCACACACATACACACAACCACACAACTACACAGCTACACAACCACACATACACGTACATATACATGAACACTCCATGAACACACGTTTACCGTGAAATCGCACCCGATCCTCATCGCCACAGCGGTCTCCCCCCTCTCCCCCCCGCATTGAGGGCATGGGCCGGGGCCCCGGGGAGCCGGGGAGTGGCAGGTCGCGGATTGCGGGCGAGGCTGGCGCCTCTGGAGGTAAGTCGCTCGTCCCCCCCCCCGTGCCTTCGGTGGCAAATCATGGGAGCCCCGTGTGCCTTCTCAGTTCCGTCTTCAGCTTCGATTGGCGTCGAAGAGCGACAGGTAATCGATGGGAGAGCGCCGGTTTAGCGTTGGTTAGATTCGATTTAGCGTCGATTTGCGTCGACTAGCGTGGATTAGCGTCGATTCGCACGTCGACCAGCGTCGATGAGCGGCAGGTGATGCTTGGGATCGCGCCGGCTTAGCGCCAGTTCAGCGTCGATTTAGCGTCGATGCGGCGTCGATGGGCGTCGACTGGCGTCGACTTGCGTCGATGCGCAGTGGCCGCCCAGGCGGTGTGGGAGGCTCCCTTGGGTTGCCACCGAGCGTGCTCCTCCCTTCGCAGGAGGGCATCGGGGGCCGAAGGGAGCACCAAGGCTGGGCCAGGATCTGGGGGGGGGCACGACGAGAGCGAGCTCCCGCGGCTCGCGGGGGGGTGGGCCTCCCCGCCCCCCACAGCAGTGGCGAAGCGCTTGCCTATAGGCCCGCCAGAGATCAGGCAGTGGCGAAGCGTCCCAGCATGCCTGTAGGCCTACCAGACAGTGTTCTAAGAACCTTTTGTGATTTCCACGGGATGTGTTTATAACAGTTCTGGCTGGGACTGTCTTGTTTAAACACATCCGGTTTAGGTTCTAAGCACATTGCTTTTGTTATGTGAACATGTTTGGGTTCTGAGAACATTTCGTGGTAGGCCTACAGGAATGCCGGGACGGTCGGTCCCTGCTCAAAGAAAGGAGTTCAATCATCTTGTGTGATTTGCACGGGATGGTCTCAGATCGCTTCTAGAACAGTTCTGGTTGAGATTGCCTTGTTTTGGGACATCGGCTTTCTGTTTAAATGCCAACGTCTTTGTTAGTAGCACATTTTGGAGTTCTAACTCATGTCATGGTTGGCTTACAGGGATGATGGGACTGTCGGTCACTGCACAACCACCCCCACCCCCTGTAAGGGCAAACTTAGGGGGAGAGGCGGATAGTCTCGGGGGAGGCGGTATCGACCCCCAATCGCCCATTGCTTTACAAAACAAAAGCATGGATATAGGCATCGTGGATTACCGACGGGTAATGTTTTCATCCGAAGTCGGCACGCTCCGTCTTCAAATGAGGAGGCACTGACCTCACGTGTTGGGCTACCTTCGCGATCCGTGGATCTGGCGCCCACGCGCCAGAGCCACGGATACCGAATCCATGTCTGCGCGTGCCCGACCTGCCATGTGGGCCGGATCCGGGTCCACAGCCCGCAGGGGAGCCTGCGGATTCGTTCTCGGGGGCCCATCGCCGATCTGCCGGCGACGCTTCGCCGATCCCATGGCACCGCGCGGCCCGCAGGAGTCGGTACCCACCGAGGGCGTTCCACGAGTCTCGGGCCGGACGGAAGGGGGGGGGGATTGGAAAAGGGGGGGTACGAAATCTGCTGCATGCAGCTGGTTTCGGCCCCACCGAGGGGCCCAGCCCTCGATACATAGCCGCCTCTGGCGCTGGGAGGCGCCGGGAAAATCAGCTACGTGAGCTGATTCTCAACCCCCCCTTTGCTATCCCCCCCTTTCGCCTGGTCCGAAATTCGAAAAGTACCTGCTCGGAAACGTCAAACAATCATCTGTCTGCTTCGGTGTAGTTTACCGTAGATCCCCCACGGCGGATCCAAGCCATGTGCGAGTGGTCGCTCTGCGAGTAGTGGAACGCGCTCGCCCAGGGACGGTCGAAACGGAAACAAAAGCGACCACCGGCAGCAACTCCTGTTTACTTTGAGCAGGCCTTGGCGGGCGGCCCTGGGCGTGCCTCCCGGGGTGAGCCTGTGCCAGTGGAGCGCAAGGGGCCTGCAGAGCTGGCCTCTGCACTCCGCCTCCGTGTGGGTCACTAGCCCCTCCCCTCGCAGGCAAGGTTTCTATCCCAGCCCCGAGTTTTCGAAGAGAACGAAGCGGCTACCGTCGAGGCTGACTGGTAGGTCGATCTTGCCAAGTCAAGGATACCCTTGCGTCCGTGCCCGCTACATTCCTGTGGCGATGTGGCCCTCGGAAGTGTCATGTGTCCTCTCGCGTGCCCTCTCCAAGCAGCCTCGACCGTGAGAGAAGGAGGGACACCCTGTGATACACCCCCAGGGAGCTGTTCGGACGCACCCCTGTCGAGGACGGACGCCCCAGCGTCGTAGATCTCGGGGTTGGGCCCCAAATTATGTGGTCCCTTCGAAGACCCCACGATCGACAGACATATCCCTTACCCCCCTGGCTATGAGAGAATTCCGGGACACGAACAAAGGCATAAACATAACAATTCTGAGGTCCCCGCGGATTTCTCGGGTCCGCGCTGGGCCCCCCTCCCTGGCGCGCGTAGCTCGCCAGGGGCGGCGCCAGAGGCGCCGCCAGGGGGCCCCAGCGCCGATCCGAGAAATCCGCGCGGACGTCCGAGTTTTTTGTGTTTATGTCATTCTTCGTTTCCCCAGATATCCCTTACCCCCCTCGCCATGAGAGAGTGGAGTCCCGAGGGTTATGTCGGCCGCGTCCCTCTGCAACAGGAATCGTTAAACATAGTTTAAATCATACTCTGGGGATTATTTGTGGCGCGTGCGTTGGCCATTGTTGCACATATCTGTTATATGTTTCGTCCAACGAATCCGCCTGTAGGAGGACGTGCCCGACGTAACCCGAGGGGCAGGGGGCAGTGGTCCCGAGGTCGCCCGCCGTCTGCTCGGCCTCCGGGCTGCCCTCTTCCCGGGCCACGGGGGGACAGCCAGGAGGAGGAGGAGGAGGAGGAGGAGGAGGAGGAGGAGGAGGAGGAGGAGGAGGAGGGGGAGGAGGAGGAGGAGGGAGGAGGAGGAGGAGGAGGAGGAGGAGGAGGAGGAGGAGGAGGAGGAGGAGGAGGAGGAGGATGGGGGGGGAAATGATGGTGATGAGGAGGAGGAGAAGAAGTAGGAGGAGGAGGGCCGCAGGCCCCCAGGGGGGAAACGTCTGCACCAGCAAAAGCAGATATTGATGTCGTGCCTTCTGTTGGTGGCAGCATTAGAACATTTATAGAGGGGAAGGATGAGCATCCATGACATGTTGGACCATACCTGAGATCATGTAGATCCGTTCGTGTCTCCCTGGATCCCCTCGGACAAGCCAGTCCGGGGGAGAGATCCAGGGTGTCCAGGTCGCGAGTTCCATTGGGGTTCCTTCCCTCAGGCCAGCTCTTCCTGCTGGGTTTCTCCGAAGGGCTTAGGCGACCCGTCCTCCTCCTGTCTCCTCCTCCTCTTCCTTCCCCTCCTCCTCCTCCTCCTCCTCGCCCTCCTCCTCGTCCTCATCCTCCCTCCTCCTCC